GACTGTGCATTTCTTTTAAACTCTGGTGGCCTTGAGCATTTGTTCCTTCCCCACCTCTTTTAATCACAGGTTAGGGAGAAAGTTTGGTTTCCTTCCACATTTTTAATTGTTTAAATTGTGGTGCTGTTTCCCAGCTCCCCGAGAGAAAGGAATTTTTACATCTGTTTATAAAACAATGACACTAGGTTTTTTATTTTGATTTCTTTCTTTCAAATCAAGCCTTGCAGGAGGCCCAGGATTGTCACTTAAAGTCCTCAAGCTGTAATTCGATTAGGCTTTTCCGTCAGGATGAAAAAAAATCTCATTAGGAAAACTAACTGAACACAAAACAAGCTTCTAGAATGAAAGATCAAAAAAAAAATTTATTAACATTTCTATTAAATATTGTATTTCATTAAATTTTAATATTTTTTAAAAGGTTATTAATATTATAAACAGGCTGAGGGCATGACTGCAGGTAGAGGCCTGCATTAGATCCTGAGCAATGCTGGGGCGATCCCTGAGCATGGAGAAGATAGAGCTGAGTACAGAGCTGGGAGTAGCCCCTGAGCACTGCCAGAAGATGATGATGATAATGAAAATAGCAACAACACTAAACTCTGACGGAAATGTCTTCATTTTTAACATTTTTAACCTGCACTATTGGGTAGGTACATGGTACTGTATTCTGACAAGTCCTAAGCTCCTACAAGCAGGAATGACATTGATTTTGATGTGATCTTTTTGCCCTGTGCTAAACACAACTCCGTGTGTGTGTGTGTGTGTGTGTGTGTGTGTGTGTGTGTGTGTATTCTCAGTTCTCCTGTAAGTATCCTTGAACACCAGATTTGCAAAACTCTGGCTAGCAGGTTGTGGTGAACCAGTCCTGAATTGGCTGAACTGACTAGTGGCTAAAAGGAAAAGATGACATGGAAAGCATCCCTGCTCTACGGTTAGCAGAGTTCAGGGTTGAGGATGCAGTGAGAAGGGGCTATGAATTCTGGGCTGAGGATGCAGTGAGAAGGGGCTGTGGGATAGTACTAGAGGGCCACGGAGACACTGATGGGCAGGGTATGGCAGCACTGCAAGTACAAAATAACAAAGGGAACTGTCATTAACCATGCTAATGCAATACAAATAGCTGATTTGGGGCAGGGGGATGGCAAAAAAGAAAAGGTAAAAACACTAAGTCAAGGCTCAGGCAGACCTTGGGGTGTTCTCTGAATACAGGTGGGCAGATTCCCTACCCCTGAACCGCCCCCCACCCCTCTATGATGGGAAAACCCAGCAGCCCCCAGCTACACCCTCCATCCTGCTGGCAGAGAAAGAAGAAATGGCTCAGCTTCACAACTAATCTAGAGAAGAACATGGTGCCTCCAAATCTTCCCAGCTAAACCAGTCTGGGCTGACAATTCAGGAGTCCTCTCAGAATGGGATTGGGCAGATCCTTCTTTCTTCCCAGAGGAAGAGCAGCCGGAAGCCATACCTGACACCCCCTGACGTGGAAGTAGCCCAGCTTCACAACTGAACCTTCTCCAAGTGCCAAGTCACCAAATCCTTCCAGATTTATAGTTCCTGCACTGAGGCGGCTGTGAGACATCTCCAAATTTCCTAATACTATCAGTCCAGTAGGATGACAGCAAATCTGATGGGAAAATTGTGAAGACCTTCAGGCTCAATGAACAAAAACAACACAGAAGGCTCAACTAGCAGCAATCAGCCCAGTAAATTCTGACAATGACTTTATTGAGAGCACTGTGAGATGCAACAATGATCACAAATTCACTTTTATTGAGCTAAGTTTTGATAATTCCACTTGCCTTTGCAAACAATATGAAGCAAATTTGTGTGTGTCTGCAAGGGGGCAGGCTGGAGTGATGGGTGGGAAACTGGGGGCATTGGTGGAGGGAAAGTCACACTGGTGTTAGGGTTGGTGTTGGAGCATTAAATGTTTGAAATAACTGTATCCTGAACAACTTGGTAAATCACAGTATTACACTAATAAAAGAAAATTGGGGGAAAAAATAAAACATGATCCAACCAGACCATAGGGGTGGCTTTCCTTTGCTCTTTGATGGGTATTTGGAATTAAATGAGAAGAGTCAAAATGATAGAATGCTCACTGCCTCCAAGAAGTTCCAGAACACACCTGACCTGGAGGGAAGGAAGTCCTTTGTGCTCTGAGGGAATCGCTGTCCTGCAGGAGGGCAGCCTCACTCAGCAAACCTTCCATGCCCTTCGGGGCATCCTGTGACTTATCTGCCTTCTCCTTCTGCTTCTGACACTTCTGGGAGGAGCATTTCAATAACACCATTTAAAGGTGAATGGCATTTTTCAGAATCTGGAACAACAGACCTAAAATTAAATAGGCTCTGGTCTTTCAGCATTAGGGGTGGAGATTCTGAACATCTGCAGGGGCCCCTAATTGCTTGCTATTTTAATGCCTGGGCACTGGCAAATGAGTCGATTTGTTTGAAAGAAGTAGGGCAGGCATCAAGAGCCATCAAAGATCGGTCAGGGCTTAAGAGAGACTGTCACTTGGGGTTGGAGGAGGTGGAACCCATCAACAGTTTCTTCTTGGCTAACAAATGATGTCTCTCCAGTTTGCAGAAGCTCGGAGTCATCCGGGGGTCTCCCTTCCAGGATTTCCCCTCTTCATATTTATGAGGCTGACAAGGATACACTGCTGAGTGTGCAGAGGACTTGAGGTCACGCTGCAGAGTTTTCTAAGTACAAAGAGCTAAGTACACAGAACTGGGACCTATTTCACAGGAGAGAGACTTTTCAGTGATGGTGGAGGAATTTCAGGCAATCGAGAAACTAATTTTAGGGGGTCCCTTTCTTTTTTTTTTTGCTTTTTGGATCACACCCAGCAATGTACAGGGGTTACTCCTGGCTCTGCACTCAGAAATTACTATTGACAGTGTTCCAGGGACCATATGGGATGCTGGGAATCAAACCTGTGCTGGCCACATGCAAGGCAAATGCTCCATCCGCTGTGCTATCGCTCTAGTCTATGTGGGTTAAATACAAATAAATAAAAATATCACAAGATAAGACCTGATTTGGCCATATGAGTGCTCCTGAGCAATTACATAAGAAGCAACTGGAAAAAGTGGAATTTCAAGTGCTGCTTCTGGGTAAGGATCATGAAACTTGGGACCATAAATCCTAAAACATGAACTAGGAAACCTCAGAAACTGCTGTGGCTATGATGTGCATATGGGTTCATGGCTTTCATAACTCCCAAAGAAACTGTGCTTCAACCAACAGGAAATTCAACCATCTTTCTTTCCTTCTTTATTTTGGAAGGTATTTTTTTATTTTGAAGACCTAACATTTTTAGCTAGAAAAGTGACACCCATCTGCAAGATTAGCAACATGCTCAATGTGAGTTCTGCATATACACATTTTAAGTCTTAAGGCTAAGATATGATTATTCTTAGTATAATTACTTATTGGAAAAGAAATGAGAATCATGTGTGTGAATGAGTGCACTAGGAACGAAACCCAGGGTCTCCTATGTGCAAGCATGTGGTCTGCCCCTGAGCTGCATCCCCAGGCCAGTATTAGTAAATTAAACTCCCATTTCATTTTAGCTTATCTTTTCTGCATTACCCTGTCTTTTGTCATAGTATTTCCTGGAATTACTATCTCTGCAAAATGTATTTTTGAAAGAGGCAGGAGTGAGGATGTAACAAAGACAAAATAATTTCACCTTGCATTCGTATCTTTCAATGTCTTCACAATGAAATCTACATCTTCTTTGTAATCTAGGAAGCTGACACTCTTTCCTGTGCCATTTTTTTTTTTTTTGCTTTGATTAGATTCATTGTTTCAATAAAAGATTCCTGTGCCATTTAACCTCAATCCCAAAGCCAACCTCTGTGATGGTCACTTTATAGCAGCACTGTGTACTCTTATCACAAATCATTCTCTTTCTTCTTATAATATTTCCAAACAAAAAAACTATTAACAAACTCATCATGCCAAACACGTATCAGGAACTATTAGGAAGCAGGAGGATTTTATTTCCGTGGTTAATTTTGCTCCTACATTCTCTTTGGCTGACTAAAAGCAAGATGAAGTACAACAACCCATTAAGATATTCTGTTCACATCAATTATTCAGGAGGAAGAAAGTAGAGAGATGGGAGAGGAAACAGGACCAATTCTTAGCTCATTGGTTATAAGGCTGGCTAAGCTCTTTGTACAATGACATCATCGCCGAACAAAAATGAGAAGACAATATAAGCACTAAGGATTTATGAAAGCCTTTAATCTATTGTTTTAGGCTCAGGAAATTATATATTATAGCTATGAATATTAAGGAAAATTAAGTGATTTAGAGACTTTTCTCTATGCCAATGCTCAGGTCCTTTGCTTCACTATTACACTTGTAATTTTACCAAAACTCTGTTCAGGTACCATACGTATTTACCAACTCACAATATTTATTTATATATTAGAATTCTGAGAATTCATCCTTCTGATATTCATGATATTTGAGTCAATGTGACTCCAAATTATATTTTTTAAAAAATCTAAATATTTTTTATAATTATCGAGCACCTATGTACATGTAACATCATATTTGTACTTAAATGTTTTAAAGCAAATAAAAAACTAGGTTAACAAGCTCTCTATAAACTTAGATCAAGATCACCTGGTTGGTTTGTATTTCTTCATAATTTGCAGGTACTTCAATGGTACCATGTAATTTTTTAGTATAGGTTCTGATAGGATTATATAGTTTAAATGTCTGTTAGACTATCTAGTTTATATATCTCTTCATCTCTGTTTTTTAGAAAGGTCTGAATATTGGATACACAGAACACTGCACTTAATCATTAACAACAGAAAATGCTCTATGATCTGCTCCGACACCTTTAGAGAAAAAAGCTTGCTGGTTACTGGAAACAGTGTTCACTTTCCTGAGCCAGACTTCAGGTGCTTCGTTGCAAATCTGAAAAGTGTCCCATCACAAAGTTCTGATAAAGCCGTAAAGGGTGGTGCACTCACCTGGCTTTATAAGGCCTGACTTTGAGTCCTTCTTATGTCGAGTTGATTGAATACCTCCCTCACCAGCCATTGCAATGGTGCATTTCTTTCTGATAAAATCTTCATCATTTTCAGCGCAAAATCCAACAGCGATGCTTCCAGTATCAGGGGGCGTCTTCACAGGAGACACTGACTGGCTACTTGGACAGCCTGTGTCATCTGGAAGACAGAAAGCATGACATGTTGAAGAAGATGCACATGAGTTGGCTCTCAATGGTAAACAGTTTGACAATCTGTGTCAATCCACTCATAAGCTTCACATCTCACACTGAGTGATGTACGAAAATCATTTCTCAATGAAATGATATAATTCCAAGTTGCATGCATGGGCTCTCACACATGATCCTGCTTATTCCTCAAATTAACCCTGGAGCATACCCTCCTTTCATTTCCTGTTGCTTTTTCCCAAACATTTCCCATTGCTTTAGCTTATAGAAAATATCAGCTGTGAAAAGAACCCATTTTAATGTAAAGCCTTACAAAAAATTTGTATTAGAAATATTCTTGCAATGTTCAAGTTATCAAAGTCCATGCTCTAGGAATGAAGATTTTTTTTTTAGGAGTTAGTAATAAAAAGTTCACTACAGCAACACTGAATTAGTATGCATTGGTTAGTGTGTGTTGTTTATATCAGGGGAAAAAATAGCTGAGTATTATTAACTCCATCAGTTTTTTGTGAAGTGGACCATTGGTTGATAGCATTTGACAGAAATCTATCTGGTTTTAGGAGTTCAAGAAGCAGAATGAAGTGAACCTGTTTTATCATTCTATACATTCAACCCAAAATAAACCAACCAGATATTTTACTCTCTGGGCTACATTGATAAAAATTAAATGATGCCATACAAGAAACAACCACGACATTTTCAAACCACAGACTAATACCACAGTCATTATTACAAATTATATGCAGTAGTCACATACATATGAAGCATATATCTTAATATGTGCATATCAAAATAAGCACAAAATGAAAGGACCTGTGTAGATGTTTATTAAGTAAACAGGAAAGTCAAAATGCTCATGCTCACAAATTCTCTCCATATTTGTTAAGTCTTCATGATCATTGGTTAATTCATTTATATGCTAACTTAAAGATGTATGAAAAGAATTTTTTTGAGGGTTCACACCTGACAGTGTTCAGGGCTTATTCTTGGCTCTTTGGTTACAAATCACTCTGCACGGGCTCGGTGCTAGGGATTGAACCCAGGTTGGCCATGTGCAAGGGCAAAAACCCTACCCACTGTATTATTGCTTTTGCCCCTCATATGGCTTTATAGAAAATTTAAAATAAATTGATCACACTGTCACACTGTCCTCCTGTTGTTCATCGATTTGCTCGAGTGGGCCCAATAACATCTCCATTTTGAGACTTGTTGTTAATGTGTTTGGCATATTGAATATGTCACGGGTAGCTTGCCAGGCTTTGCCGTGCAGGTGAGATACTCTCAGTAGCTTGCCGGGCTCTCTGAGAGGGGTGGAGGAATCAAACCCAGCTCGGCCTGGCTGGCTGCATGCAAGGCAAATGCCCTACTGCTGTGCTATCACTTAAAAATAACTCCTCTGAATATCATGCCAAGTGAAATGAGTCAGAAAGAGAGGGATAGGCATAGAATAACTGCACTCATCTCTGGAATATAAAATGACATAATATGAGACTGACAACCAAGGACAGTAGACACAAGGGCCAGAAATGTTGCTCCATAGTTGGAAGCCTGCCTCATGAGCTGGGGAAGAAGGCAGCTGGAAAAAAGAAGGGATCACTAAGTCAATGGTGGTTGGAGGGATCGTTCAGGTTGGGAGATGTGTGCTGAAAGTAGATACAGGACCAAACGTGATAGCCTCTCAGTTTCTATATTGCAAACCATAATGCCCAAAACTAGAGAGAGAGTATCGGGGAAATTGTCTGCCATAGAGGCAGGGGCAATACTGGGAACATTGGTGGTGAAGAATGTGCACTCAGGGAGGGATGGGTGTTTGATCATTGTATGACTGAAACTGAAACATGAAAGTTTTATAACTGTATCTCACGGTGATTCAATTAAAAAAAAAGAAAAAAGAACTCCTCTATAAAATTCAGTTTTGGGGACTGGAGAGATAGCACAGCAGGCAGGGCATTTGCCTTGCATGCGGCCGACCTGGGTTTGATTCCCAGCATCCCATATGGTCCCCTGAGCACCGCTAGGAGTAACTCCTGAGTGCAGAGCCAGGAGTAACCCCTGTGGATCGCCAGGTGTGACCCAAAAAGCAAAAATAAATAAATAAATAAATAAAATAAATTCAGTTTTGTTTGATAGTCCTTTACCAGATATAAAGGATTTTTATCTCAATTACTTTAGTAACAAAAACAAAAACTTAAGTAACAAAAACAAAAACTGAGTGCATAACTTTATTATTATTATATTTTATGAATAGTAAAGGAAATAAAATAATTTGTTATTTTAAATTAAATTTTGAGAGGTTGAATAAAGAAAGTAAAACTATACCTAATAACTAGAATTCATCTAAAACAGAATTGTCATTGTTTCATTTTTGGCCTTTACTTATTTATTTTGAAATGTCATCGTTGAAGTAACAAAGTGAACTTGACAGAAGTAAATAACGTGTTCCTTTTGATGTGCCTTTAAAATCTGGGTGGTGGTGCAGGAGGGCAGTAAATTCATATGTGCAGAATCCCATTGGACCACTTAAGGAAGTTTTTAGTGACTATTCCTGCCTGGCATCTTCACTTCTTGCTTTATGCTTTGTTCTTCCTGACCTCCTAAAGAAACTTTGACCCCCAACTTACAGAGTGAAGAGAACCTTCACAGCTGACATTGTTCAAACCTTTCATCTTTCAGTTTCATCAACTTTCTCTTACGTTTGCATGTCTTAAGTTTCAACTCAGAGAAATACAAGCTCTTCTGTGGAGGTGCAAAGCTGATAATTACTCAGACAAGATTCCAAGGCTTTTACAAGGCTCAACAGGTCTGTGTTCTGCTCAGTTCGGCCTTGTTCTGATTTCAATCCCAGAGCAAATAAACCCAAATAAATGAAGGTCAAAATTATATACAGTCCTTACAACTATTTCTTTATGAGCCGATTCATAAATTACTCCTTCTGAAAGAGAGAGCATGAATAAATTAAAATCCATGCTTCATATTCTCTAGCCTGCATACTCTCTCCCCCCATTTATTTTCTGTGAAAACTCTCAGACTCAATAAGATCAGATAAAACCATTTCAGACTAGAGGTATAGCTCCGTGGTAGAGTTCTTGCATATACATGTATGAGGCCCAGGGTTAATCTCTAGCACTGCCAAGTTAAAGAATTTCCAATGTTGAGAAACTGTCAAAATTAAATTTTAAATAGAAATCAAAGGTCTTACTTGATTCTCTGATTAATTTGATGAAAATACATAAATAATATTTTTACACCCTAAGTTCAATACTAATAATGTCAAGATTGTGTTAACATTTAATCAGAAATCTGGTTAATAATTGAGAACCGTTTTTATTTATTTATTTATTTATTTTATTGCTGTGTTATTATTTTTTTGGGTGGGGGACTACACCTGGCTTTGCTCAGAACCTACTCATGGTAGGCTTCTGAGGTCATATATAAGGTGCTATCTGGGGTGCAAAGAAATTGAGCCCCTGGTACTACTGATCCACTTCCAGAAACAGAAAGTTCTTTAGGAGATTAGAGAGGGCAGTGGCATTTTTCAACTGGAGTATGTGCTTCTCTTGTCTTCAATATTTACAGCTAATATATTCAGGAGGCAGGGATTGAAAAGATTAATACCCAAATAAATCATTAGCTTTAGTTTCTTCGTGCAGCCTTTTAATTAATACAAAAACTAGTTTTCACTCTACATCTCCTGTCTAGTACTGTATGTACTTCATAGTGAGAGGGAAACAAGATGAATGTAAGTTGTAGTTGTTGGCTAAACAACATCAGGTCAGACAGAGAGTACAGTGGTAAAGGTACTTTCTTTGCATGCAGCCAACCCGGTTCTATGCCTGGAACTATAGGAGATCCCGCTCTCCCCAACCCCACCTCAAGCACCACCAGGATTGAACCCTGAACAAAGAGCCAGGAATAAGCCCTAAGCATCACTGAGTGTAATGCTCAACCATCTCCCCTCAAAAATACCCAAACCCTATAAAACTCAAACCAGTATGCATCAATCAAGTCTTGGCCATTAACTAAACTACTGATAGCTTTCATTAAAAAGCCAACAGAAGTTGGGTCAATGTGCAAGAAAAATGTACACTTCCTATAAATGGCAAGCCAGATCCATAGTCAACATCTGTGAACTTTCAGAAAAGCTTGAGAAATTTTCTTATTTTGCATATGGGACCAAAACTAATAGTTTGGTTGGTGAAAGTATGAAGCCTTTCATGCCCTCACTGCATTTCATTATGCACAGTAAGCCTCACACAATGGCAACAGAGTCTAGGTAGCAGAGGTTCTCTTGGGGATCCTAAGAGATTTTCCTCTGCGATAAACTCAAATGTTGGGAACCTCTCTTCCTCACCCTACGCCTCCCTTCTCTTCCTCCTTTTTTCTTTTCTTTACTTTTTTGCTTTTTGGATCATACCCGGTGATGCATAGGGATTACTCCTAACTCTGAACTCAAGAATTACTCCTGGCGGTGCTTGGGGGACCATATGGAATGTTGGGAATCGAACCCAGATCAGCCATGTGCAAGGCAAACACCCTACCCGCTGTGCTATCACTCTAACCTCTATTCTTCCTTTTTAAATTCATGGTCATAGCTGAAAGCTGACCACTGTTCAGAAGAAAATGATATTCCATTCTAAAGAATTATAACAATTGTTATCGTCTTCTTCTAGGGCCATAGGTCCACCCGAATGGTGACTAGGTTTCACCTGTGATTCTCAGTCATCTGGAACAATGGTTCAATGCAAGGATGTGATACCTCTTAGGCCCTGTTGTTCCGGGGATTATTTTGACCACACCCAATGATGCTGTGGGCCATTGATGGCAGTATGCAGCCAGGGATGCTTGGGGAACAATTTGGTGCCAGGAACTGAACCAGGTCAGGTGCATGCTACATATGCAACCTAATCGCATTACTCATAGTCCCCAAATATTCAAACAGTAAAGTCAAACTGAAGTTCTTTGTCTGTGCCTAATCTATGTGCCTCACTACGT